TCCCAGTAATGAGGAAATCAAAATTACGTAGGTTGTTATTGTGATGTCTTCGTCCAGCGGTTCAGCTCAGCTCGGTCACAGAGAGACGCATAGCGACGCGGCGATCTGCATTGGACCGAGTCTAGTGGCGTCCTGCCCCTGCTATCCCAGGCAGGCACTACATATCATTTAGTTCGGGTGAACTACCACTCACAAGTCAGCTTGATAAACGCACCTATCACGCATCCCGCACGGTCCGCCGCGGGATGGCGGTCAGCGCCCGCGGCGGTAGATCGCATTGCACCGAGCGGCCGAGGCCGCGCCGCGACCCGGCAGGGACGGCATGTCTGTTGGCGTGTCTATTGTCTGCTGCATTTAATTTTGTCTGTGCTAAATGCGCCATGTACATTTTCGACAAGGGAGGTACAAAGCGGATTAGGTTGCGTATGGTTTTTGTATGCACAGGCTCATAACATTTTTTACGAGATATACGCCGTTCTGTGCGGGAGGCGTTTTGCCTCGCACTTAGATAAGGCAGATCATGTTTTGCATTGGAAGGTTACCTTCCTACCTACCTAGACCCATGGCGTTCATTAAGTGACAGGTGGTGATGCACCGTATGACTGGATCTGTCGTATCTAACGAACGTGTGACGTCATATGGTAATTGGTAAACAGCCAGATTGGACTGCCGATTGCCTGGCTCGATCACGAACTGTATTTTGTGATTAATTACACAGGCATTTACGTATTTTAAGATTATCATTCACTAATGCAAATGCAAGAACAACGCGAAAAAGGCTAATGCACGCACAACGTTCGCTTGCAACACAAATGCTTTGCTTAAATGAACGACGCCAACTTTACGGTGTGTCAAAGCAGACGGGTGAGTCACTCTCCACTTCAGCGGCAACTCTAAGATAACCGCTCTGGTGGAGACTCTGATATCTTAAAAACGGTCAATGACGCAATCAAACAATGCCGTATAGAAGACCATCTTTACTAAGTAATGAAATTGCGCTATCAACAGTCTTTTGTCCTTCGCATCGCATGGCAGGAGTGGAGTGTGCATTAAGGAATTGTTACGGATCCGTGCCGATCCACGTTGGCATCAGCCCAGCACATGACAACGCGCCGGGGGGCAGTCTGTTCAGTGACGTTATGACCGTGGCCTTCTATCGGTGGTTGGCGGCCGACCTATAAAAGCGAATGTACTGCAGAAGCAGCCACTAGTTTCATTGCACACTCGGCCACCAAGACACAACATGCAGGTATGTGATTGAACTATATTGTTGATGTAGCAATTTGTCGGATGCTAGAGATTTTTCCGACAAATGCATCGTGGTCGAAAAAATAACAAAGCTGTTAGAATGAGCAAGCCATTCATATCTTCTATGGCATTGCAGGTCCTCGTCGTTGCCGCCGTGCTGGCCGTTGCAGCTGCCGCCCCAGCCCCGGATACACCGGTGTACAGGCCCGCCCCGGCCTACAAGCCGGCCTCTTACCATCCGGAGCCCCACTACAATGAGGAGGCCAAGCCGTTCGCTTACAACTACGCCGTCAATGACCACTACTCCGGAGCCAACTTCGCCAAAAAGGAGCAGAGCGATGGCCACAACACCCAGGGATATTACTCGGTGACTCTGCCCGACGGCCGTGTCCAGCACGTCAAGTACGTCGCCGACAACTACGGCGGCTACAACGCTGAGGTCACCTACGAGGGAGAGGCCCAGTACCCCGAGTACCACCCCGCTCCTGCCTACAAGGCTGCCGCTTCGGCTTACAAGCCTGCTGCTGCCCACGATTCTTCCCCCGTCTACAAGGCTGCCGCCGTGGCATACAAGCCAGCTTACAGCCCTCCAGTCTCGGTACACAAGCCTGCGGCGTACTAGGTATGGGGGACGCCCGTTAAATGTGCGCACGGATATGTTCTATTCATTGCAATGACCTGAACAACATTTATCAATAAAACTGCCGCTCAGTCATCCGTGTTGTTATTGTTGGTAAGCGGCTGATGCTATTAGGCTGTGTACATGCTGTTGATGGTGGCGTAAGCGTCGCACCATCCTCAGACTACCGCACTCATCCTACACTTTATTGGAGTAAGCGGTGGCTCCATGCTGAATCGAAAAGAAACAGCTTAATTTCGTATGAAGAGCAAACCACTATAATAATAATACCATGCCATGGGATAGGAATACATGCTGTCATGAGACCATGACCATGTCGTAGACCATGTCGTAAATATCATAGGTAAAAACATACCCATAGATAAGACAGCAGTTATAGTCTTATTCCTGGGAGAAAAACCAGGAGAATGGAGATAGAGGTGGATTAATATTTCGGCAACTCGCCTTTTTTAAAACAATAGCAGAAGATGACCAGCAGATTTACGTGGAAAGCGGAATCGTGATGAGCACCATGGCTGGGCTTCGAGCCGATGGTCCTTCATATACTTCCACACACACTGCATCCACAGGAAGTGAAGATTCGTGTCAATCACCTAACCTTTCCGCCCACTATCATGCTCACGGCGCATTGTTCATGATTTAACAAGTTCCTCCACAGCCATCTTGCACAGTCAGTGGTACTGGGAGCCTGCCTTTTACACATTACGGAGCACCAGAATATCCAGGTTCGTTTCTTGCAGATATCAAAAAAAGGTTACGTGGATTCGACTTCTGCTATTGTTTCGATAAAGGCCTATTGCCCGAAATATCAACCTATCTCTATCTCCATTCTCCTGGTTTTTCGCCGAGGAATAAGACTATTACTACTGTCTTATCTAAGCGAATAATGTTCCTCGCAAATGCACTGAACTTTACCACAAAAAATCCTCATGAATCTGGTGAAAAGAATTTTTGTTGGAAACGACACGAATGGTGAGTCGAGTACAATGTGGTGAATTCAGTGAATCTATTAAGATGCATTTAAAAACACGAAAAAAGTCAAGAACAGTATTGAGAGTAAGCTTTGAAAAGAAAATGAAAGTGCCGAATTTCACCCGAGCGCTCGATTACATTTGACAGAGCCAGAAGAAAACTGCAGCTGATTATTCGGGAACTTTGACTTGCAGATTAACTGACATACAGACGGCGTGGCATGGTCGTGGTATGGCAGTATCTTAGAAGTTATACCAAAAGATTGAATATTTAACTGCCTGAATCTGTGCAAAGTTTGACGCGGTATGCAGGGGTAAGAAAAGTGCCTTTTCCGTCACCGACGAAATTTAGAACCGTCTAAATTTTCACCTGGAGCTGAATCTTTCAGAAACGGATGTAATGAAACTATAAATGCAATCAACTACAAAACAAAGACAAATTTATTGCAATGCAGCATAACCATCAATGATCTTTGTTTCGGTAGTTCATTCATTTGCACTTAAGTACCACTTGCTGGCCATCAAGCGCTGAATGATGGCTGAGACTTGAATTCTGAAATTATCAGATAAAGGCATACGTGGCATGGCCAACCTGAAGGCGTGCAACTTTCTATTCAGGGAGCGAAAGGTGATTGTGGCTCCTAACCATGGATGTAGTTTCCCAATGTTATTTGCCTTTTTTAATCATTATGTTTGATATTAATGATTATTAGGATTTAACCCGCAAACTAATTTCGAAAGACTACACTCCTCCTCCCAACTGTGAAGACGGTGTGTCAAATCTGTGCGGATAACAATTTTGAGTGCATTTTGGAGGCAGACTCAGTCATTTTTCCTCGCCCCCCCCCCCCCTCCACCTACATCGCTCAGCCCTACTTCTTTGTAAAACTGCATTCATGTAGCCCTGTATTTACCGACAACATGGTTCTACAAACACCTAACAACATCACCTTTGGTTTTGTGACGTCATTGTGCAATCAGCTGAGCGTGCGGGCGACCTACCCTATCTTGGCATAATCATTATCGGCACAGAACTCGCATTTCCTAACATGACACAAATTATTCAGAGCAAAACCCATGCCATATTGGTATCAGTAGACGCAAATGACACTTTGAACATGTGGGCTAACTGCATTCAGCTTTATATGCAATATACTAGTGTGTCTGTATGTGTTTTTACTAATGTGTTTGTATGTGTATATGTGTTTGTTCTGTCATGTCTGGTTCATTGTCCTTACAGCCTTCAACCTCTAGTGGTTTTGACAGAGCAGTCATGAACACCTTTATCCTCATTTTCTGAAAGGGCGAGGTCATTCGTGATGACAGGACCAAGAGAATGGCACGACATGACATGGCATGAATGGCATGACATACATGATCGCGATAAGCATTATGGCTGGGCTGCGAGACAGTGGTTTTTGACGTACTTCCACATCCACAGCTAAGGAAGTGAAGATTTGTGTCAATCAGCTGGCCCAGCTTGGCGTCAGGTCGCGTCCTAGCCTGACGTCACGAGCCTGGGTAGAGCGGTGAGCGTCAGAGGCTGCTGCCACTGAGATGGGTCAGCAGCCGCAGGGTCGTCGCGTGTGGGGAGGGGCGTGACCAACAGGGAGTGGCCGTGAGAGCCCAGCTGTTGGTCCATCGCTAAACGGTCGCATGCGGAGGGATCGGACCGTGACCTCAGGCCATCAGCGGCTTGGAGCTGGCCCTTAAAAGCGAAGGCTTTGTGGAGAAGGCATCAGTTTCACTGCAATCTCCGCCACCAAAGCGTGCAGCATGAAGGTGCGCACCAGTCGCTCAACTAAAACTACGATATTGTTTGCTATAGCAGTCATCTCATCTGAAGTTGTGTGCATGCATGCAAACTGGATGAGATGTCATATTCAGTCTGTAAAACATGTTTACCGTTGCTATATAGTTACGAGCAATTTGTCGAAAGCACTAAAGACGCGGTATCAGTTCCGACCAGAAACGCATTTCGGTAGGTATAATAGACTGCATTTCTACCCTCAGGCCTTCGTCGCCGTCGCCGTCCTAGCCGCCTCCGTCGCCGCTGCCCCGGCTCCCGACACCCCGTCATACCACCCAGAGTACCAGTACAAGGAGGAGGCCAAGCCGTTCGCTTACGACTACGCCGTCAGCGACCACTACACCGGCACCAATTTCGTGAAGAAGGAGGAGAGCGATGGTCACAACACCCAAGGATATTACTCGGTGGCTCTGCCCGACGGCCGCATCCAGCACGTGAAATACATCGCCGACAGCTACGGCGGCTACAACGCTGAGGTCACTTATGAGGGAAAGGCTCAGTACCCCGAGTACTACGCTGCTCCTGCCTACAAGACTGCTGCCGATGTCTACCAGCCCGCATACAAGACCGCTACCCTCGCCCATCAGCCAACCGTCACCACTGCCTATCAGCGTACTTCCCCGTCCTACAAGACTACCACTCCAGCCTACAAGCGCGCCTTTAAGCCTGCTGCCCCAACATACGGGACAGCTGTCCCTGCTTATCAAGCAACTGCACCTGCCTACCAGTCCACTGCCCAGGCCCATCAACCTGACTTCAAGCTTGCTGCCCCTGCGTACAATGGCCTTCCTCTTTCATACACCCCTGCGGCTCTGGTCCACACATCTGCTGCCCCGGCCTACACATCTGCTGCCCCGGCCTACACCTCTGCTGCCCCCGGCCTACACAACTGCTGCCCCGGCCTACACATCTGCCGCCCCGGCCTACACATCTGCTGCTCCGGCCTACACATCTGCTGCCCCGACCTACACATCTGCTGCCCCAACCTACACATCTGCTGCCCTAACCTACACATCAGCCACCCCGGAAGACAAACCAGAGGCCTCTCCGTATAAGTCCTCGACCTCTGCCTACAAGTCCTCCCACAAGATTGCTGTCCCGAGCTTGAAGCCGGATGTGGCGCATTAGAAGCGAGTGTGTTATGTTGGCGTTTTGAAACTGTGCGTTGTTTTGTGACATTATGCGTTGTGAATACGAGGAATGTTTGCATAAAACATTGGCTTTTATGCTGGTCTTTTCTCTTATCATACGCATGTGAACAAGTGACGCATTCTGGGAAGATGACACCGCTGTGATCTATGATATGCGATAATACTGGCGGTGTCGTATATCAGAAGTATTGCAGCGCACGTTGCAGGACATGAGCATATTTGGAGCAACTCGTCTTTACACATTAAACATGATACTTGGCCACATATACACATATACTTGGATGGGATTTGGAAACATTAGCAGGTCATCAGTCAGTCACACCAGCGGGTCATCAGTCAGTCACACCAGCGGGTCATCAGTCAGTCACACTGGCAGGTCATCAGTCAGTCCATTAGCAGGTCATCAGCCAGTCACACTAGCAGGTCATCAGTCAGTCACACTAATAGGTCATTAATTAGTCACACTGGCAGGTCATCAGTCAGTCACACTAGCAGGTCATCAGTCAGTCGCACAAGCAGGTCACTAGCCAGTCACACTAACACGTTACTGGTCACTCACACCAGCAGGTCATCAGCCCCCGGAATCAGAAGATCCTGAGATCTCTGCTATCGCCGCCTGATGACGCAGAGGAAAAGTTACTATTCGACTCGGTAACGCGGTACGCCGCACTTCGACGACGATTTTCACGAATACCAAGGCGCAAAAAGCTATATGTATGTAATGTATTAACGACATGTACGCCAACGTTTTCTGTCACGGTAATCAGCGAAAGGTATATACTAGCAGCACTGAAGGTCTTAACAGACCTGCGCGGGCGACGCGACGGTCACATCCGTCGTTAACAAGTAGGCAGTGTTCGGTATATTTGTCGCGTGCGACCGCCATCTCAGCTCAGCTCGGTATCGAGGTTGTCCGCCGGCGCACCATGAGCCGCAGGGGCGATGGCAGTGATGCGTGCCGACAGACGTCCTCGACAACACCGAACGTCCGAGGCGAGCTGGCGCCGGGGAGGCGCGCCAGAGGCCGCCGGCCCACCCGAGGCGGCTCCAGCGGCGGAGCCCGGACCGTCGCGGCGCCGGTGCAGCGCACCTCCTTAACAGAAGCACCAGAGAGTGGGTTGAATGCGAATCGTCGACCACGACAGAGCAGCGGCTCTAAATGGACAATAGCATCTGACGATGTGGCACATCTAAATTGGCCGCACAAAACGTCTGCTGATGATCTGGTGCAACTTCGCAAAGCATGTCTAGGTTAGCTGTCCAGCCGTCATGGCAGGGAATAAATTGCTCTAGAATACGTCAGGACAAGGAAGACAACCAAAATTTTGGCGAGTGAAAGGGAAGACATCTTGGTAGCCTTCACGGCAGACGCCATGACTTAATGACCCACACAGACATCGAGAGTCACATAGTCGCATAAAATGACAACTTAATTTCCTCGTGACACTGTGTGCTGGGGTGTTTCATCAGTAACAAAATCAAGTGAGACAAATAAATTATATGGCGCAGGAGTCCAAAAGTATACGGTATAGCAAAAGTTGTTCCCAAAAGCTGAAATTCGTGGGGCGCGAGTTCATCGAAATATCTCCGTAAACCGACCTCCTGCGTTGCAGTCACCCCTTGCTGGGCGGCGTCCGCCGCCGCAGGTAACACCAAGCCGTGGGCGGCAAGCGACACAAAATACCTTTGCGTATAGAAACGATGCTACCGAGCGCTCCTCCAGCCGTCGTAGGAGAGTGTCTCGTTCTAAGGTCCAATGGTCAAATATGTGGATTAGACATTTCCCGATTGACTATCATCTGGCGGAAGCTTTATGTGCTGCTAGGTATGAGCTCGTTGCACGAGTATGACGGTTAGTAATGCTTTAGACTTTCACTTCCCTAAGACAACTCATGTCGTGCAAATAAAACTATGCATAGCATATGACTCCTGAAAAATATGACAATCGTGCCCCTTGCCGAGCCTGTGTATTTGATACACTGGCCCAAACAGCAACTGCTTACAGACGGAAGACCCAAAACGCGCGTCGGCAGATATCCCACGGTAGCAGAAATGCGGCGCGACGATCGGAACCGCCTGTTCGCGGACCATGCGGTCCTCATCCTACACCATGTCAAGCAGCAGCTGTTCCGGACGGACCCAGTACCCGTTACGCTGGTCTGGATGGCTGGCTGGGTGCACCGTGGCCTATGTGTGCTGCGGCAAGTCGCGGAGTAGCGCGATGCTCTGGAACAAGTTGCGTAAGCCAAAGTCGCAGCCGCTGTTTTGCCGAATGGCGGACCATACCGACACATAGTGGCCGACCACCCACTGGACGAGGTCCTTGTGAGCCCTGCTGGAGGTCTCGGTAGAGATGTGAACTAGCAGCAGACGAACGACCAGTGTCAACCATCTGAAAACCTAAGCGAATACATTGGATCAATTCGCTACGAACTGAGCATTCGATCATACACAAATAATTGTGCCTCCTTAGTGCATGTAATTATGCTGATGTCCATAGTCCTTAAATGTGATGGAATACATATCAACAGATATGCTAGTAAGCGTGAACCAACCAGCAAATGATGCGACATGCCACGGCACAAAGTACGATAATAAGTAGATGCTTAACAGTGAGCGCATAAAATATCAACTGATAATTGATGATCTTTTAACACTCATTGCCATAAAATCCATCATAATGTGTTTTCATGTTTACCTGTCATGGTTCGATGGTCCAATTCGCCGCTGGACTGCCACGTTTCGGACAGAGCCGTTTTGAATGCCGGAGGCCAGAAGGTACAGCAGCTGCTGGCTGGTGCTCAGCTGCGGAATCAGGTCGACCAGCAGGTTTGGCACGTACCTAGGCTTGAATGCCACAACGCCCCTCTCCCAGACTTCTCCGACACAGGTCTTGCTGATGGGTCTTGAAAAATGTCCATCCCGTGGTCGTGCCGTTCAAGCTCAGCAGCAGATGGAGGAGGTTCTGCTCGTTGCCGTGCAGCTTGAAGCGAGCAAGTTGTGTTGAAGCGAGCAAGCAAGAGAAGCGAGCAAGTTGTGTTGGCGTTTGAAATTGTGCGTTGTGGTGTGACATTATCCGTTGTGCACACGAGGAATCTTTGGATAAAACAGTGTTTTTTTTTTTGCTGGTCTTCTCTGTAGGTATACACGTATTGACAAGTAATGCATTCTGGGAAGATGAGACATCTGTGCTCAATGATATGTGATGATACTGGCGGTGTCGTATTCCAGAAGAACTGTAGTGCACGTTGCAGGGCATAAGCAATATTTGGATTAAATCGTCCTTACACATTAAACATGACTGATCTGGAACGAGGAGACAGTGTTTGAGTCACACTCTTTCCAAACATGCACATTCGGCCCTAATTGATCAGACGGCCGATTATCCATTGGACAAAAACTACATCACTTGAAGCACCAGCGGTCACACTAGCAAGTCATCAGTCAGTCACACTAGTAGGTCACCAGTCAGTCACACTAGCAGGTCTTCAGTTACACTATCCGGTCACCAATCACACTAGCAGGTCATCAGTCAGTGACAGTAATAGATCATCAGTCAGTCTCACTAGCAGGCCATCCATCAATCACACTGACAGGTCATCAGCCCCTGGAATCTGAAGATGAAGATGGTGAGCTCTGTTCTATCCCCGCAAGATGATGCGAAGGAAAAACTGCATTTCAACGACGTGGTACCATATCGGACATTCAACCAGTCACACCAGCAGGTCATCAGTCAGTCACACTAGCAGGTCACCACTGAGTCACACTTGCAAGTCATTAACCTGAAGTTTATCAGGCAGTTACACAAGCAGCTTATCTTTCAGCTGCACTAGCCTTTATCAGACAGTCACACTAACCGGTCATCAGTCAGCCACACTGGTAGGTCATCAGTAAGTCAGCAGCAGGTCGCCAGTCAGCCACACTGGCAAATTATCAGTGAGTCACATTTTCAGCCCATCAGTCAGTTACACCAGCAATTCATCAGTCAGACACACTTACAGGTCATCAGCAACTTGAAACTTAAGATGAAAGCCAGGTTTTGTCCTATCGGCGAGTGATGATGCAGAGAAAAAATTGGTATTTCCACTTAGTGACGCAGTAAGCTGATTTTCAAAGATATGGTGCGATGATTGGCGTTCACCCAAGCTGTCCTGTCACAAAGTCATTTTCCCAAATACCTAGGGGCAAGCAGTTGCATGCATCCAAGATAATAATGACATCTACGCCAACGTTTTCTATCACAGTAACCAACGCAAGGTACAGACTGGCAGCACTGAAGCTCTTAACAGACCAGCGCGGGCGGCGCGGGACAACATCCGTCGCGAACAAGCAGACAGTGTTCGGTTTATTTGTCGCGTGCGACCGCCAGCTCAGCTCAGCTCGGCATCGAGGTGGTCAGCCGGCGC